CTGTAGTCGAACGGTGAGACGGACGTGTAGTTCAGTTTTGGGCACGCGTACGGTGCTGCAGGGATTATATATAGGTGTAGTAGTACCTCTTCGGGCTCTTGTACACCTTTTTCTTGCTACGTGTGCGTGTTCTTTAGATCCTCAGATGGCTCCAGCACTTTCGTGACCACGGGCCGAGAGTCTTTGCTAGATTTTGGCATTTAGCAACTGGCATACGGTTTAATGTGAAGTCAACACCAACAACAACAGTAGTACGCCTCTGCCGGCGTTGACTTGTAAGGCAATGGCTTGGTGCCGGTGGCATCAAAGAAGGTCTCCTCGACGTATTGTTCCTCTTAATGAAGTTGATACCAACGCCTGCAAAGGACCGACTCAGCAGAACAGCCATGCGGGCGCAAACTTCCTTCTTTGTACCCTGCACATACGCTCATGGTCTCGCGGATGGGCAACCTTGCCTTGTTGCTGTTCTCTTGCGCGAGATGTTCGATCTGCTGCACTTCCCCAAGCAGCGAGCACTCCGCCTCATTGAGCTCCGTCTCCAGCAGTTTCCTCTCGGCATCAACGGGGCCGCCCGCTTCCCCGTCGCCACTTTCTGTAGCACCTCCACCGACAGCCATGCTGGGCACAGCAGGTGTCTACATCATCTACACACAAAGACGTGCCTTGTCTCTGTTGTCTAGGTACTCTCCGAACGCGGCATAATTCTTACCGTTTCGAGTACGCGGTTTCAGACGATACTCCCCCCTCGGCCTCTCTCCTCTCAGCGTAGACGGGAGGCACACCTCTTGAGCTGCTGTTGGTTCATCTTGGTAGTTGGTGACCCCAAGGAGGATCACATCTAGCGCACCATATACGGGTTGCGCCAGCCAAAAGTGGCTTTTAACGCGCGCACGCGACCCACTGCTGTACAATAGCCATAGCTGGTTACCAAGGCCAGCAGAAAAAGCTGTGCACTGCTGCTGCAACTGACTCGGACGTGGCACACAAGGGGTGAGTACACGAGAAACGGTATGCTTCGTTGCTGGCTTTATTTGTTTTACCCTACTGCTGTACACAGGGGCGCACCGCTCAATGCAGCCTCACCGCGAGAACGTTTTGGCCAAAGAAAGACTAGGAGAGAGCATATTTTTAGCGCAGAGCACAAATATGATGTTTGAGACAGCAGCAGCAATTCCAGCCACCCTGCAATGGATCATCCGCGGACGCTCCGGGGGCTTCAAGCGGTGTTTGCAGCAGTACCCGTAAGCTATCGGTCGAAACTATGCAATGTGCTAATGAGGTATAACAGTGTCACTGCTTTCAACCCGATGCATTCAAGTCTACTGTAATACATAGAGCATTACAGGAGTACTACAGTATACGTACCAGTGTCTGCTGTTGTGCATACATCAATAGCAATACAACTGCTTGATATGCTAGTGACTGCTGACGCGTTCCTCATGTTTAATTTGTAGCAGTGAGATCTTGAATGGGTTTATTTCCCTCGAGATTGAGCCACTCTTGAAGGTCTGTTTCGACCACCTCCTGCTTTCAGAAAAAAAGTCATCCAACCGGAGAGAGGAGAGAGACATCATTTCAGAGCACCACCGCATGCCTTGACTGGCAACGAAGGCCCATGAAACAGGGGGCTCGACGCAGGCAACTCTCGCGAGCACCCACAACGACGATACACGTGTTCTTGTGAACATGAGGCAGACAGTTAGCGGCGGGGAATCCTGTAGATTTGGGCATCGGGTTGTTCGTTTTTGTACGCCCTCGTGAGCCATGTAGTTTGTGTAGCAGCAACAGTCTGGTGAACAAGGAGGATAGAGGGCTGAATGTTGCCTGGCTGGTCGAAACAAAGGAGTTGGAGAGTTTTCTCGGGAACCCGTGCAGATAGAGTTGCAGCTGTGCACGCATGTGCGCTTGAGTCTTTTTCCAATTTTGTTTCTACCTAAACGTCACTGTGTCCAAAAAACGACCATCCTTCCTGAGCACCAAGTGTGGCCTTGGTCTTGTGGCCTTGGTCTTGGAGGTAATCAAATTGACCCTCAAAGTTGTCCAAGCTGACTCCACGCGTCAAGTAGCACATTGAGTGGCACGCGTGTCGGACCGCCCGACTGAGGAGCCCTAACACCTGCATGTATAGTGTCGTGTACGCCATCGGGTTGTGTATGCCCTTATAGCCTATGAAGGAAAGAAATATCTCGTGTCCGGCCGGAAGAACGTTTCCTGACGTGAAGGCGACACGTCTACCACACCCTGGGTGTCTCTATTTTTGTACCCTCTGTCCGTGCCATGCTGCGAAGGTGAAACATCTTGACACAGATGAAGTCTCCCACGTGATCGCGCGAATGAATTGGGACGACCACGGTGAGGGTTGTAATCAAGGCAAGGCTCACGTGCACTTCCTGGCCTTCTTCACATGAAGGAGGCTACCTCAAAGCATGAGGACACCAACCCTGAAGCTGAAGACCCACCGGTCGAGCCCGAAGGCAATGGACAAGGCGGGGGGGCAACGTCAAATAACGCATTGCTGAACGGGGGCGTTTCTGCCCCCGCCATGCGCCATGTTCATGAGCAGAACTCGAAGTCCGCTGTTCCCGCAGGGCATAGAGAAGGTAGGACCATGTCGCCACGGCTGAGCTCAGGTTCACCGAGGAAGCGTTCAACAGCATCGGATAATGACGGTTCGGTTGTAGGATCGAGCGAACCGGTCAGATATCCCGCCAATCACGCTGGGGCTCTGCCACCGCTGAACCTCCGATGTGACCCGGGTGCGGATCTTTCAGCCAATCAGCCTTCACCCAACGGGCGGCGGTCGGTAAACGCGGCAAGAGACAGCAAGGACGGCCAATTGAGGACCCGTGGAACCTCGCTGAAGGGCGCTGCGGTGACGTTCGTAGCCGCGGCAACCCTACGCGACTACCGACGGAACACCGCCGCGATGCACGTCGATCTGCTCAGGGTATTCGTACCAGATATACTCATAAACGTGAGTTCAGCGATGGTTGCGTTCGAACAACGACGAAATCATGGGTCTGAGGGACGGGGCGTGCGGTGCTAACGTCGCGTGTAGCGTGCAACAAGTCGCGTCGCATACGCGAAGCACTCAGCAAACGATCTGGGGTATGGTCATAGGCTGTGCTAGCATCGAAGATAATCTGGTGTATATACACACGCCCGCCTTCACCGCTGAAATATCTCTGGTTTACAGTACAGAAAGGAAAATGATGTAGGTCGACAGCATTCAAGTGGTTGCAGGTCGAGGATCGCCCCGGTCCCTGTAGACAGGAACCCCCTGGCACTCATTGGACTATCTCCGTTTCTCGGTCCATAGTTGTTGTGTCGCCTGTGCCCCGCTTCTCGTACGCTCGTCTCGATCCCCAAACCTTCGTCCCACTGCCAGGTATCTGTCAGTGCGGTTGAGGTTCGATACTCCTGTCTACGCTGCACGTCTCCCGCCCCCCCGAACTGCTGCAAGCAGTGCTTCAAAACCCGTTCGTTTTTTCTCGAGCCGTACGTTTATCAAAGGTGTTGAATCCTCAGGTACGCCCCACAAATATGCCACCCCTCGGTCCTGCGTATCGCGCTGCTATTTGCTATCCTAGTACTTGGAGAACGCCTCCAGACCACTGGAATCTCAGGCGTTCTTTGTGAAGGCGGCGTGCATGTGCGCGGACATTTCCGGTTTCACCGCTCTTTCGGAGAAGCACTGCAAAAAGGGCACGGCAGGATTGGACGCCCTGGTGCAGGCAAGAATACGATGTAGACACGGCTCCTTTCAGAGCCATCGGACCGAATATCGTCCCCTTTGGAGGAAAAATCTTGGCGACAACACACACCCTCGTGGTGCTGTTCAATGTATGATGGATAAAAGGCTATGCCGAGCAGCTTGTGCTTGGGCAACAATGATAGTTTCCCACTTTTCGAACGAGTCCCTCAGGTATGTTCTCACGGGAACCCACATTCTATTGTTGACGATGGGTGAAGGACAAGGAGGCAGTAGACCGCGGATTCGACACCGCACCGGGAGTGCAATTTTTAGTTATAGGAAACTTTCCAAGACTACAGGAATGCAGACGAGTTGGACCTACATGCATTCCGGATTTGGTTGTTTTTTCGCGTTCTTCGGAGCGCGGCCAAACAGGGGGACGCCTGAATCGCAGTTGAGGATTGCTCGAGCATACGAAGTGAACAAATGTCGTTGTTCACTTGGCCCGTTGGAGTTCTTTCTTATTGAGCCCTTGACAGTATAGAACAAAACTTTGCGGCCTATGAGGGTTTTGTGAAGATGCGATGAATGCCAGCTATTGGCTGGAGTCGTTCCGTGGTGCTGTTCCGGGGAATTCGCCTCCCGTTACAAATCGTTCGATTCATTGCTTGGAGGGTCCATACGTTCACCATGGTACGCTTGCAACAGATACCTTTCATCACAGGAGAGCAAACGATTATTGACTGCTACCATCTTCTCCTCCGACCATTTTTACATCCGCCCCTCTCTCGCCCGCCGTTGTGCTATCACAGATCATCAACAGCTACTATTCGAACTTGGTGAATATTGTCTATTCCTTCGGCGGTGACATCATCAAGATCGCGGGGGACGCGCTGTACTGCGTGTTTATGCCCGACGAACACGACCTGAGGGGAGCAGTGTTGTGTGCGGCCTTGTGTAGCATGCAGCTTCGGGAGGTGGGTTTGCTTTATGAAACGAGGCAAACGGGTCCGTCACCAGCACGTCGCCGAACTGTTTGACGGGAAAAGACCGGTTCACACAGCCAAGAAAACGAGCATGTCCATGCAACAAATGCTAGTGCAACAACAACTGCTCTAAGGAACGTATTCATGCAACAAATGAGAGGTATAGCCGAAGGTCGTGGCCATTAATCCATCGGACAATGGAGGTGATCGTGAGAAGGGGGCATGTTTTTTTGGTTGTGATATCATTGACAACACGCGTTCCATCCCAACAACGGTACTCCTCGACCGAAGGTTGCCGCCGACGGGCTTACCCTACATGTTGGAATATCGTGCGGGGAACTGTGCTTCGGGATTCTCGGAGGCATCGATAACTACTGGGAATGCCTAATGAGCGGGGTTCCCATTGGCCTGGTGGCAGAAGCTCTAGACGAAGCCAAGAAGCAGGAGGTAACCAGTGACGAGGAACTCGTAACCGTGGGTCGACTTCCAGGTCCAGGGTACCATTTCTTACGAGGTCGCAGCCTCAGTCGTTCCCCTCAGGTCAAAGGCCACGGCCTCTGTGCTTTCTGTGCAGGGTGTCTTGTAACCAAAACGTTCCCTGGTGGTGGGCGTTTCGTCTTGTCCAACTTGCCGAACGAACTTTATAGAAATCGTGGCTCCTAGGTGCACCAAAACGTTTCCACGCTCCGACCTTACGCCACTGCATATCGCGTGGACGGCTGGACTCGCTTGGTAGCGGAGAGGTGGTGGTGGAGTTCCATTTCTCTGTATATTGTGGTGGCAAGCACCGCTTGATTGGGTTGTCGGTTGAGTGTCCGAAAGGCTGACTGAATATTGTGCCCTGCTATATATGTGCTTCTAGTCTTCTCTGTCTTCCGGGAACTAATGATTATTGAATGTGATCCCATAAAAAAACAAAACAAAACAAGGTGGTCGTGAGCGTGGAGTGCATGTCCATCATCGGAGACTGCTGCCGGGGGACTCCACTTCCGTCCCGCAACGTCCTCCTCCACACCTTGGAGCCACCCCGGAGGGAAAAGCGGGGAAGCGTTCGCATGGCCAACATGATCGCCAACAAGGGATTGCCGGTGGAGTTGGAGCCGACGGAGGGCTTGTTTCCTGGGGCAGCAAATGCAGCTGCAGCAGCGGCGGCGGCCGAGGCGGCAGCTCCGTTAGGGGCAGGGACAGGACAAGGGGGGGCGAAACGGGCAACACCTGAAGGCTCATCGCCCCAACCGCAGTCTCCAACAAGTTCAGTTGGGTCTGTGGCGGCGACTGCTACAAGCGTAGGCGAAGGTGCAAGCGCGGGTGGCAGGAAAGTGGGGGGAGCGCGAGGGACCGGGGGGGTTGTGGATGCGAACGCAGCATGGGTCAGCTCCAACGCCAAGGCGAGGGAGAGGAAAGCGGGGAGCAAGTTACTTGGAGATGACTCAGTTCACGCGCTAGGGGCGGCGGGAAAAATGAGAGTCGAGGTTTCGTCTGCAGTGTTGCCCGTGCTCCAAGGCTTCGTGCCAGGCCCCGTTACCGACTTGTTGGCGGTGAGAAAAAGTTCGTTTTCAAGTACCTGGTATCTTGTTGTGATGGTAGAGTTGGCGAGGGCCACGCAGCCTGCCAATCGATAGGATTCGGTTCCCCCCTCGGGGCGTCACTGATCTGCAATTACCCAATACGGAATACATGTCCGACACTGCTGTCGATGAAGATTCACGAACAATACAAAACAATAGGTCTACGACATGATTTTTGTTGTACCTGTCGTTGGGAAAGGGGTCACATCCTCCACTGCTGCTTGCTGAATTCGACTGACCGGTAGCAAGGACAGACTTCTGTAGCGACACATGTACATGGGGTGGCATGGGCGTCAAGATAGTAGGGTGCGTGTACTTGAAGACTTGTTGTCGCTGACGTGCTGTCTAGATACCTCGAAAGCCTCCTGAGTAGCGCCTGGGTCAAGGTAGCACTGTTCGGGTGGAGCGGACTCCACTTCCCGCCTGGAGATTTTGACGATCTAGTTGTGCTCTGCGAAACAAAGGAAGATGAGGGAAAGGTGAACTAAGTACAGCCGCGAATGGTTTGGGATGTGAGGACAACAAGATTATTGCCATACACCGCTTCAGGATCTCTCACCCCCCTGTTCACAGTTGCGACAGGCGTGGCCTTGCTGCTGGACATGTGCTTCTATTCATGAAGTCGTTGACGGCATCAAAACATGAGAGCCTACCCTGCCGCCGATCCTAACCACGCCTTTGGCCTTTACCTATCTTGCCGCTGAGCGACTATCGAGCGGCAAGTATCCAACCCCGATACTTCCCGCAACCCATACCCTTTCCCCGGCCAAGTCTCAATGACGCGGTATGTTATTTAGAGGGCATTCCGGTCGAACGCGAACTCTGACATTGACCTTCACGATGCTCGGTGCATTCACAGGCTGGTATCTTTATGTACATGGCGGAGATGCGAACGGTCACGACTCTCTTCGTGAAGCTCGACAGCTATTCCCCGGAGAAGCACAAGAATCTTTTGTCGCTGCAAGTGGGTTTCGCTTTGGCCTCAGACAGAGCCAGGTCGATGGGCGTTGTGACTAAACTACAGCGCATTGTACCACAGAAACGTATCGGAGCAGTGAGAAGCCCACAATTTCTTCATTCGTGTACCGTGGCACTTTTGTTTACAGCGGTATAATAATATGCACGAGTACGTGAGGTGTCCCCTGAAATCGTTTGGCTGCTTCAACGGCAGATTCAGGTAGAGTATCTCGATAACGTTCGCCTTCTCGAGGAAGGAGACTATCCAAAACGCTTGCCAGCACGAAGTATAAAATTTCAAGGAGACAAATGGGTATGCGACAAAGAGATGGGAATGCTGCTATCGGTTAGTTGTTGTCGATTTACTGAACGAGCCTAGGCTCCGGGGGAGAGCACTCCTGGCCTTGTCTATGCCGAGCAGCGCAGCCTGGACGCGGTGTCTCGAGAGAAGTCAAAATGGAGTACCAGTATTGCTGAGCGCGGGGGTTGCACACGATGTATTCCATGGGCGATCGTTTTTCCCAAGAATTGCGACACATATCGTGGAAACCCCAGGACTATCTACATTAGTACACAATCTGACCTGATTATCCATTGATCGCTCTCTCCCTCTATTCGTGCCTCGGCATCAACCTGCATGCATGCGATGCCAATAGATCCACCTGACGACCATCCAGAAGATTCTAGCAGAGCACGAAGGGTTCTTGAGGCAGTTCCTCGTTGATGACAAGGTAAGATGGTCGTGCACGAAGTGGAAGATGGCGGGCTACGGGGTAGAAGGGTCACCTTGTCGTATTGCCGTGTGGCAGATGGTTGAAGGGAGCGAGAAGGAAAAGGGGAGAACAGTGAGAAAGAAAAGAAGAGAACGTCTCAAGTAAGGCGGCGTATATTGAACGCCGGTTAGAAGCTCCATAATATTCTTCATACATTTTTTCTGCCTGCATCATATACTATAGACGTTTACGTCTTCCATCATTGCCTACCCTAGATGGAACACAACTACAACCTAGGTTCGGTTAATTAACGGAGTTCATTCTCCCAACGGAGTCTCTCTTCCCCAATCACGGTTCTGTAGTTCTTGTCACGGCCGTCAGGGCCAGTGTTCCAGGAACGGATCGCAGTTTCCGCGGGGTGCTTTCGTGTCGCGCTACCTGGTAGTAACATCCCTTCCATTGGAGCTAGATTGGAACTCGCTTCTTCGAAGCGCCCACGGTGTCGTGTTCCTACGGCGGCAGGCCGGGGATCCAGTTGAAAAAGGACGCGAGTGGCACTGCGATCAATGCTTCTGTTATAGGGGCTTTTCTTTACCCGCTTGGCTATTGTCAGGCATCCGCCACCGTTTGCTTGCTCACGCCACGTGATGACATCCCTTCATGACTTGTGCAAAGATAGGACCACGCCTTATCAACAGGCGTCAAGCTCGTCATGGACATGATCTTGTCCAACACGTTGATTTCTCGATAAACGAAGTATTTGCTTTTCTTCTTCGTGCATGTGTTGGGGGGGCGAAAGGGGTGTGTGCTGATCGCATGCTGGGGAGTGCCCGGCCGGAGTTATCCCGACAACGGCAACCGATGTCTTGCCGCCGCGGTGGAGATACACGCAAGTCTCCAAGTCAGGGACATGAAGACAAGCATGGGGATAACGACGGGCCATGTAAGTTCCGTAGAAGCTGCCACAACTTGTTGAGGGCTAGGAATGGGGTACGGGCGGGGCCGATAAACGTTAGATGGCGGCTGTGTTTACGGTTTAATGGCGTTGACGCACTAGGAAGCGAGAGTTTTAAGGGTATGGGATCAAACACGAAGTGCGTAGTAAAAATACGAGAGAACGTCGTGCCGACGTTTAGTTGTCGCCAAGATGTATAGCTCAAGTTCCGTACAACAGTTCGCGCCTTAACCAACCAGACTTATGTTGCCGTCGTGTGCTTTCCGCCTCAAGAAGGAGTAAGGTAAGCAAGCGAGGGCAGTGTGTTCTTGGAAAGGACAAGCCACGCAAGAGCACCTAATTCAATCACCTAGCGACACACTTTTGTTCACTTCCCTTACTTCGTCCCTGCTATTTCGTCCTGCATGTGTGTGTTTTCCTAAGGCTTTGTGCGGCCGTATGGGAGGGAAGATCCGATCAGAGTATGCTATGGTGGGAGATGTTATCAACTTGGCGGCCAGGTTGATGGGCAAAGCCAAGGGTCGCATCGTGTGTGACGAGGTCACCCACGACTTGGTGAGACACCCAAAGTGGCGTGCGAGGTGCAACCAGCTGCAAACATGGCGTATACACTAATAAATCTCCGCGAGAAGTACGTGCCACACTGCTGTGACTTGCAAGGTGTCCAACCGCCACTTGCTCTTGGTCAATATCAATCCCAACTCTTTTCAATATCGCATGCCTCTGTCTTATTGATAGGAATGTTAGGTTTACAGTAGTACCGTAGTTGTGCGTGTTATGGCACCCCCGTGTTAGCGTTTTTTTATAGCGTATTTCTCCACAACTAGGAGGGTGAGAACACCAACTGATACCTCTCCGGAAAGCCCTCGACGAGGTGTTTCCAAAACCTCTTTTGTCGGAGGTGATACGTCCCTGGTTGTGGAGAAATACGCTACAGAAAAACGCTATAATAACACGGGGATGCGATAACACGCACAACTACGGTAGGTGGCTCCTGGCGGTGTGGGGGCGATCTTCTCCGTGATACATTATTGATGGACCATGAAACTGCCGTTTTCTCCTCAAGCACGGCCTTTGATGTCCAGGTGTGCTGTAACGAGACCATGGTTGCCCTGTTCAAGCGTTTGGACCCGATGATGCTCAAGGGGAAGGAGCACCCCATCGCGCCCTTTGTGTGTCTGGCGCAGCAAGGTTCTGACATGTGGGAGACGCACAAGCAGCTGAGGATGATTGGAAGAATAAACCTGCAAAACTCGGTAAGAACGCGTATCTGCTTGTTTGATTCACCTGGCACTTAACCACGATCATTCTTGGAGATTGCCGATCGTTGCGTATCTCTCAACGTTGACAAAGTTATTCTACTCTCAAAATCCTCGAAGACACGTATGCCAGAGAGAAACACTGCGCTTCTGTAATTCGACCATTCGTCAAAAACACTTTTTCCGAACCTTCCAATGATTCTGAACGCTTGCAGGACGCCCCAGTCTCATTCTTTGATACCTCGTGGTGAACCACATAAGTAGGTAAACACGGCTCCCGCTTGCGGTCTTGTGAGGGAATGCCAAACCGCCAACGAACTCCTCGCCTGTTCTGGGCGAGACCCCCGAGGACAACTTGCCACGGCCCGTTGCTTCATGTCACACAATCGCAAGCAATGTCTCAAGAACGTATGTAGACGATCCGCGACAACCACCCGCCGACGTAGCGTCCACTTCCGCATCATGTACATCGCATCATGTCTGTCCTGAGCAGCGGAGCGCCACCTTGCTGAGACTGATCGCAGCGAAACTAACGTGGTGTGTGACTGTGAATCCAGGTCAACGCATTCTTGGACCTCATTGACAAAGGGGACAACATCACAAACCCGGAGCCGACGGTAGTGGTTATCGAAGGGGCGCACGGGACAGGAAAGGCAAGTCCCGTACCGTTGCTGAGAACACGAGGGGTTGTCTTGTTCATCGATGATCATGTTGAACATCAAGCACCACGAATCGATGGTACCCACCACAGACCTACGATGTTTTCGCCAAATTCCTGCAGCGGCAAAATTGCGCGTTCAGGGGGCAGGGGTGGTCGCTCCGAAGTCCAAAGACACCCCAAACACCCCCGTCCCAAGGTGCAGCTCGCTGCGGAGAGCGCTTTTTCCAATGTTGTTGTTCGTGTCTTTATCCGTTGGGAAAATCAACCATACAATATCGAACAAAACTGAGGCAAACGGTTCCTGCTGACAATCCCTAGGAAAACTTTGCTTCTTGGCGAGAATGTGTGACGTTTCAGCTACTTCTTTGATTTTTTCGTCTATCGTTCCAAAATGTTGTGAAACCGCTTGTGTGCGCCTCGGCATCCTTCAATGGACAAACGGGGTACATCGTCATACAAGATGTACTCACGCCCACCCTAATCCTCGTACCAAACGCGCAGCTTTTGAGTCGGTGGTACGTTCGGTTAACGCAAGTAATGATGCAGAAGCTATTCACGAGCATGTCCACATTAAAAATTCCTTGTCCGGACCCCGAAAAATCTGCTTGCACGTTGATGCTACGCCGAAAACGACATCTGGGACCAACTCATGTGACCTACCGACAGTCGATGGTTGCGGATCGAGTGAAGAAGTCCGCCTCGCAATTCTTCAGGAGAAAGGTGGGATAAGATGTCATGCGGTGGAAGTGTTTGGTTTCCCATAATGTGTCGCCCTCGAAATTCTCCTCTTGGGTGTTTGTCTGTCCTGGCTGTCTGGAACAGCACGGTTACGAGCTTGAGCATACGTTGAAGGTAAGGGTTAGCCTGGTCCTGAGTGCGGTTGCAGCGCGAGTTCCAGTAAAGAGTTGTCGCCGGTTCGAAAGTTGTGTGTGCGTTAGCTTACGGGCTACTCCAATCAAGGATAGGGCTAGAATAGCCTTCGCGAGAAGAAAATACCAAAGGCAAAGGCACCATATGCTTGTTTGTCGGTCTTGCAGGTGCACATGTATGCGATGGTCCAAATGCAGTCAGGAACACCCTACGCTGGAGCTAAGGGGATGCTGCGGACAATTTTCGGGCTTGATCACCTTGGGGATGATGCGCTTGCAATAAAGCAGGCTCTGTTGAAGGTAAAGGAGCATGATCATCCCGTCATTAGGGTACATCATGGCCTGTCATCGATGCCACGCCCTGGTCAAAGGTAGAGCATGTCATACTCGGTTCATCGTGTCGTTCCGACGTGTGCTAAAGGTGACATGTGTGTCGATCTCCGAGCAAGGAAACCTAGATATTCAAACTCCCCATTTTACCGGCGCGGATCACACCCACGCAGATCGTTCGGGAAGTGTATGGAAGCGCCGAGCAACCTACGACAGATGTGGCAATCAGAGCCTTAAAGGTCGGTTCAGCGTGACAAGTCTGGAATGCCTCCAGATGTCCTATGCTGCATTACGTTTCTGAGCGACATGAGGAGCTTATCAGCACCGTTCGTCCTTGTTTTGGGTTGTGATCATTCGATTGAGCCTTCTCGGACCATGCAGGGGTGCCACACCCGACAATAAATGCCCCATACCTCATACATACTTTCAGTTGAAGAGATAATGTGGGCATACTAGGGCACGTGTCCCAGAAAAAGGCTCAAGTCTTGTGTTCTCAAGTACTCCAGCTGAGCATGCCCCCCTTGGGAACTTCCTCGTCATACGATCGATTTCCGCACAAGGAACGAAACACAATCTAATCTCTGCTTCTCGGGACACGTACGTTCCATTGTTCCCCATGCCCGCCGTTTTTTGTTCGACCATGTTCACACTTCGTTCACGCCATTGCATTTTTACAAATACCCATCACAGATAGGGCATGCGTGCATGTCTACCAACGTACCGTTCAGTTTTAGCCACAGATATTACATGTGTTTTCCCTCCAGGCGGTACTTGGTGTGGACTTGGGCGGAGAGACCGAGGGCGAGATCCTCCAGGCCGTGCGGAGGCCAAGCGTTGGGGGACGACTGCCACTTCACGTTGTGCACTCGGTGATTGCTCTACTTCAACTGAACCAGTGGTTGGTTTGTTGCTCTTGCAAACGTATCTTGTACTTGGTCGGTCATGCTTTCAAACTACCCGAGTTGCTCTTCCTTGATTCCTTGCCAATCTTTGCGAGCCACGGTTACTTGTTTCCTTGCCATGCGATCATCGTGTCGGGCACATGGTAGTCGTGGTTCCTCCCCGTCTTCCGACAGAGTGATGGCCGACTCAGATTGTTTTTTCATCTTTCTGTCGCCATCGCTGATTTCGGCGAATCTCGTGAAGCCACTAGTTATTGCGTTCGCGAATAGCTTTGAAAAAGGGATGGGTTGAAATCCTCATCGCAGTCAGCAGTTCTCCACATCTCAATTTTTCAGGTATCGCGGTGAGCTTGTCCCAAAGAGGTTTCTCGCTCTAGGGTTTCACCTGTAGTGCATCGCTACTGCTAGAGTTCTGTGTTTCCGTTCAATTTCTTTCGTTTCTGCGGGGGTAGGCATAACAAATTCATGGCCCGCAGCTCCGGATCTGCAGAACGGCGCGTTGCACATTAACTCAATGAAACCTGTCTTCCGGAATATTCAATGCCCTAGGCTTTACAATGCTCTCGATCCGCCACTACCTCCCAAGCCCTTCTTTCATTAAATATCGCCGTTCGAATACCTCATATACTTCATTGACTAGCCTTCACCGTCCTTGTTCCCTTTTATTTTACCGTACATGGATGCTTGCCTTGTCCGGGCATCCCATGCAAGGTTATCTCGGAGCTGGCTACACACGCGTTAGGGAACTTGCCCGCCGTGTTTATTTTGGACAACGTGCACCTCATGGATAAGATGAGCTGGAAGCTTCTCATTCAGGTGCACTTCAATTTCGCAGGACTTCGTAAGTTTGCATCTAAACACGTTACGACAGCACTTTTTGACTTTGCGGGATGCTTTGCATATATTAGCACCGTTGGTTCTCGGTTACCGATTCTCTGTCTTCCACCTGTGACTAGTCAGTGATAAGGTGCCTCCTCCACCACTGCGCGCTGCTATGACCCGCAGCTACTGTACTGCCCTCTGCGGCTGCTGCTGGTCCTGACGGCCACACCGGTGGAGGAAGACATCCAGAAGAAAAAGAATCTGTTTCACGCGAAAAAGAAGAGTCAGATAACAAGCCCGACCGCAAAAGCGGAGCGGGCATCAGAGGGGCCGAACTTCGTGTGGCACGGTGATCATGGTGAGAGGGACTGTGTAGTTTTCTAGCAATCACCAGGACCGTGAAAGTCACGCCTTTTTTTGATTGTGGGATACGTAGCCGTGTTGTTGGTATGATGTCAGTGACTTTTCAAATCGGCAGCCAAACCCATTCGCCTCTTGTTTGTATGTGAGCTAATTTCTCCGTTCATGACTTCTGCTTCACGTGCAGGCGAGACTCACTTACACATGCAGCAGTACATTCGGGCCACCCAGCTGCCGATCACGACGAAATTCTCGCTTAGCCCCTTTTCCAAGGAAGAGGTGAGCGAGAATGAGCATGTCCCCCAGGCCCCTTAGTGGAATGATCGTTTCGCTGTCGTTGCTCGTGTGTTCGCGACACGTAGTGGAGGCAGACGAAGTGCGTTGTTGTTTCTTTAAGCTTCTCCGGGTGAACGTCCACTCTTTGCCTCTTCTACAGGGAAAAATCAAACAGCACAACTGCAGCCGTTGAAAAGCGTCCACAAGTGTATTCTACCACGTCAGATGCATGGGGCGGTGCTTGCGGTTGAGGAGGTGCCAATCGGTAACACTCTTGTCCCTCTTTCAGCCTCTTGCGAATAATATCGTTCCGTCATGTACCAGGTTTGTATCCGTTCAACCTCGTGTTCTGTGCATCAAAAGTTTGATTGGGCTCTTGTTCAAGCTCCTTTGCTTTTGTCGCTATTTTTCCCCATGAGTACAGTCAGTGTCTTGACGGAACCCCCGTCGCTCGACTTGATGATTGTTGCTTGGCTTCGCAGTTACGCCAACTGCTTCAGCACACCCTTGCGCCCAAAGATAGGGCGGGTATCACAGAAGCATTAGTCGACACAGTGTACAGCCTATCCGGTGGGAACCCCTACTGGTGAGTTGACCTCGCTAGACGCGTTTGGGTTAGGGACGGGACTGCGCGTGATGGCTTTCACAGCCTAAATTGCACCTCAGCAGTCGCCGCACCTGTCCGCCCTCCCACATCAACAGGGAAGCACAGGGAAACTTTCGTTACTGTTTGTTAGCCTGGTTTTACCACGAAAAGAAGCTGAGACTGTGACCATGGGCCCAGAAACTGGATCAACAACCCATGGTGCAAACACCAAGCAAATGGCGTACAGAGTACTATCATTGAAACCGGTATCAATCTATTGCTTTTTGCGAAGGTGCGTTGAGGTGGTGCGGTTCATCAAAGAAAACAGCGTGGGGATCTTTATGAGCCGAATAGCGGTACAGGAAGCTGGGGGTGGCGGCAAGGACAGCGGAACTGTCAACGGCTCTGCCGTCGGCTCTCCGGAGGAGGCCATGATGGGACGGATGGGCATCCTCGTAGTCTGCCGTTTTGAGCGACTGCTGGTGGAAGAACAGGTGAGTATCTCAACACCATCATGTGTATCGTCGTTTGTGCTTCGCTTGTGAGATAGGTACATAGTCTATAGGTCAAGTGCAGTAGAGGTGACGCATTGTCTACCCCAAACATTCCATTGCATGTTCGGCAGACACAATCAAGAAGACCGATCCCGCTCGCCACCCTTCGCCAGCCCCCCCAAGATGTTTACGAAAAGTCATATTTTGTCACCAATGTTTCTTCTCGCGGCAGTCGGTCGTGCGATACGCGTCTGTCGCCGGCTTGGAGTTCTCGATGGACCTACTGCATGCGGTCCTCCCGAGAAATATCCGGCCCCAGCTGGACCTCATCATTCAGGCAAGGGAGCGATCCACAACTGCTACGTTGCGTAGGCCTTGCGCAGACAGGTCACCTGGCGCTCTAAGTTGTTACAGATTCGAAACCACATTTGCAAGTTCTTTCTTGTTAAGCCTTGTTTTCGACACTTGCGTTGGGCATCCGAGCATATTTTTGGAGCGGTTACCAGCGATTGATGGGGGCCGAGACGCTCGTCGTCGTACATACCCAAGTGGATTTGGTCCAAGTAGACTCTGGCAACATTGGACCCAACCAAAAATTAACTTGCCCTGTCCCGAAAGCTCGGTCTCGACTGTTTGAAACCTCAGTCCAACAAGCTTCTTCGCCGTTCGAAAGCTACCATGTTTTACGAAAACCCGCTTACACTCCAAGAGCGCAAAGAGTGCTTCACGTCCTCCATGTCGTAACTTAATTTAGGTCTGCCTCAGACCGTTTCGTCAGCTGTTTCACAAAACGTATCCCGGACCCCAATTTTCTTGCGACGACATGCCAGGCTCTTGTTACGGCGAGGTTCGTGGTGTATTCCCGGCATACCTACTACAAGTTCCGGAACTCAATGGTGCACATGGTGCTGTATAACCTCACCCCGGCTTCCAGTCGGAAGCGAATGCACAAGGTAAGATGGCATGCAGCCACAGCTGGACAGGTATGAGGGTCAGGACTAGTTGTCTGGGTTCGGATTCTGGTTAGGGTTAATGTCTGACAAAGCAACACGTTGACGAACATTAACGTGAATGGGTCTTGGCTATAGTCTTACCCATCTACTTGCAATATCTTTGAGATACACTATGTGTCGGAAAATTGCAGCCTTGTGAGTCTGATCGGTCAAAGGTTGAGAAATGTAGCGTTTTCCTCGTCGCCAACCGAAACAGGATATTTGAATCGGTGACATGATTTTGCAAATGGAGGGGGAGGCATCCTGTGAAGATGGAGGAAATGCATGACGTAGAACACGACACAAAGAGGAACGTCGCTTTGTGTGGATGTCACGACGAGCCAGACCTTACGAATGTTTTGCAAGCCTAGCGAGAGGGCCAGCGAACCCAGCAGTCTGGATACAAATCCTCGCCCTCCCTTCACCCAACAGGCTGTTGCACAGCACTATATAATGAGCCATGGGCAGGACCCACTCTATCTCCCGGTCATGACCTACCATCTCCTTCAAGCGCGGGTGAGCCATATGAAAGTACCGCGTGCGTCTTCTCCACGCATCCTACCTCGAGAGGCAGGGACGCCTGCACTCTAAGAAACGTAGAGGTCCCTGTCGAAAACAAAACAATGGTGTCGGCCAAGGAGGACGAGCGGTAGCAACGAGAGCCAATGTTGATGAACCCACCTGCGTTGAAAGTTGTGCTTTCTCTTTGGAGTTGCGAACAACCGTTCGTCTTGCATTGCAGGTGGATCCTAAGCAAGCGGTGACGTTCGTGTGTAGGACCGCGGCGCACGCTCTCGTGGCGCTGTGCTACGAGGACTGCATGGAGGCACTGGAGAAAGCGATCGAGTTTGTGAGCTGCACTTCGGACATTCACGCGGTAGGGAAACGACAGGACTGAAACTCTGCGCCTGTGGTTTGGTCTTCTGTGTGACGAGCTGGAGGTTGACATGAAGAAGTATGTTTCGCCATGTGGGTCAGCATGGCCGTTATCGTGCCGTCTGATATGAACTTGGTCTGATCTTCACGGGTAGGTTGGTCCAGTTGAAAGGACGAGAATGGCTAACTGACGAGAGATATCTTGGTCGATTTGCTGCCCCATGTGACAAGTGAGAAAGCATCGTGCCTGCAATTTGGCCGTTCTGTTGTGTCGCCTATGGGCGTACCATTTATTTTCTTCTTCGCCCGTGACGTTACCCCTCAGGTGATGTTCGTCCACCACTACATTTCGACGATGCACGAGATGGGGCATACGATGTTGCGAAACGGCAGCCTCGGAGCTGGGGGCTCACAGACCGAAGGAGAAGGGGAGGGCGACACAAACGCAAGAACCAGAGAAACATCTAACACCAAAGAGACGGATAGTAGTCGAAAGCGAGGGACAAGACACAGAACCAGCAGTAGCGCCATTGAGAAAAGTAGCGGTCGAATAGGGTCAACGCAAGGAGGAAGCGAGGGTCGAGTGCAAGTGCGGATTAAACGCGCACAAGAGTCAAGTAGTGGGCGACAGAGGGTGTCAAAAGAGCCGAGCGCGGAAAGACCAGGAACAGGGCAGGGGGGGGTCATGGCGGGAGACAGGAGCTTTGCGCTCTTGCCTGAGGAGTCCGAAAGAAGGATGTCCGAGGTTCGTCTGGTGGTTGCAGCCTTTCACTTGCTCCTTATAATTTGGCGTCAACCATCGCGCTCTTCACTCTCTTTTTATGTCTCCACTATTTTCTTTCGTGATCGTGCAGAGAGCTAGATCCCCTACACGCGTGGTTTAACGTGAACTGGATTCTCCTTTGTAATGCAGAAGCCACAATTTTGCACACAACCAAGAGCCTGCCGTTCGTTGTCGATTCCTCGAGCAGAGTGCCAACCAGTTTGTATCTCAACCTGCGCAAAAAGTTAGTACCAGGGTGGTTGTCCCACAAGAGGTCACCATGTTGGCTGCTTGTACATATATTGACCCATCGACTATGGCCATGTCTTTGTTGCGGTTCAACGCGTATGGCATGGCATCGCAGGTTGGATCGATCGCATCGGTGGTCGCGACCGGAGCCCAAACACAAGCACTGGGCATCCGCATTGCGAGGCTCAAAACACTCCTAAAAGAGCCGCACGCCAGGCTATGTTCAGCGGGACAGTTTTGCCCGACGCTGCAGGACGTCTTTCCTTCCCCTCGACGACAAGCGGTAAGCACCACCCCGCCCCGAACCCCTAGCTCGTCTCTTGAATAACCAGCCGGAACACGTAGTGCACAACACGAACCTTCTCTGGGGAAGGAAACTTACAGCTTGGCTGAGAACATGATATTTTTCGTTAGCGTGGTGCAAGTTTGTGTAAAGACTTTCGTAAGTAGTCAACAGCAGTGTTTACGTAGGTCTGAAACAGTCAAAAGGTGTACAAGGGTTGCATACCGTTGCCCGGGTTTGGAATAAAAATAGAAAAATGCGCATCGCCTATTATTCACTTGACTGAGGTTGGAAACACCAAGCTGATGCCGTTCTCCCAGCCCGCTTGCTTTCAAAGTTTCCCTGTTGTTTTTGTGTTCACGTATGCTCGACCGCAAATCACGGTGAATATGTTTCACGTTTTTTGGTTTCGCGACAATTGCACACGCTTCATCCTCCTCGACCCTATTCCCAACCTTAGGCGGACGACGATTATGCCGACTCGCTGCTCAAGCACTCAGCGTCCATGTCACCTCGGTCTCCGAAGAACACATTTTCTGGTTCCGGCGGGGAATCCGACTTCTTCGAGGAACCGATCGAGACGGGGGGAACCGACATGATAGTGGACGAGACGCTTTCGTGGTTGGCTGGGGGTAACAACAACGACGAAGGCGGTAAAGACGACAAGAATGGTGAAGATGGACACAACATAGCCGGCGGAAATCCCGCTCGACCCGTCGGTAACGTCTCGAGAACCCATTCCAACTTGAATGAAGAGGAAGACCTCCGTTGCCGATCTTTGAGTTCTTCGAAGCCCTACCCCGACCTTCCTTCGGACGGGCGGAGGTCTGGAGCGCTCACCTCGACGGGGTGGGAAGTGGCCCATCTGCTGCATGTTTGCCTGGGGCGCTACCTGCAGCCAGGAGGACCGTCACCTGGGGTGAGATAAAAAAAACAAAACAAAAAACGAATCGAGGTAGACTTTCAGACAGTCAACGTCGTTGCTGGTTGCCAAAGGTGTTGTGCTTGAGATTGCTATTGTGGTTGTCGATGCTGCTTCGTGGTGAACCTGAGGAGGGCTCGAATTCCCTGCTGCCGGTGAGCTGTTGAAACTTCCGCGGAGACAGTCGCTTTAATTGTATGCCTAAAATATTGCAAAGGCGCACGTGAGCTGGTCGCTCGCGACGGCCTTCAATGCCGCGTACGAGAACAAGGTTGAAACGTTCGAGGCCTTAAAGAGCAATGAAAGTACTCATCTATGTCGTGACAGCAAGAAAGCAAATGCTGTAGCTTTACGATGTACTTTGAACACGACAAGGGCGGGTGGTTCGTTGTTTGCTATTGTTGTAGTCCAGTACTTATCACCGCAAGCTGCCGCCTTGTTTTAGGTTTTGAGAATATGGTGGATTGTGAAGAGAACAACAACAACGTCGACATCAACATCCATAGCAACCACCTCAACACCCCAGCGACGACAACGACGACGATGGCGACAATGGAACTAGAACATTCAGCGCGCTTGGGTATTCGAACGTTGTCTATCTTCTGTAAATGCCCGACGAACACGCACCGAAAGATGTATTTTACACCCTCGAGCTGAGGTCCTTCAAGCAGGAATATGGAAGCTACGATACTCACAACTATCCTAGCTCTGTTACACTCCGTGGAGACAAGATACAAGAAATAGCATGGCCATGCGTCTACGGGAATCAGCGCACAGACGGGGTCCCTGTAGAACCGGTGTTGGTGTAGGTACCTTGAGAGCAGAGAAGGTTAAGATTTATCCCGTGCTTCCACGTCGTTCCTGTGTACAAACAAAAAGTTGCCCTCCTTGTCATCGCTGCAGGGCCCGGAAACCGCCGACGGAAGCTTTTCGATTTCCATGCATCGGCTTCCGCCAGAAGCGGGGGACGGCGCTGAACTTCCAGGCCAGGTGACGAGGGCAACATTAATATGCATCAATTGTTGATCTTGCCTTCATTGTGACCAATGCCGCCTAGATTGCATAAATACCCGGTGCTGATCTGCAAAGAAAGGAGGCACGTTGTGTGTGAGGGTCGGGGCTTGGGCGTCAGGTGAGGGGGGCGACGGAGACAGGAGGAGGAAGCGGAAGGGCAAATATGCGAAAATCAGCATTGCGTCCACCAGCGACTGCAATATTTTTCAGGAATACCGAAACTAGTAGCTATTGTCTCTTCGGAAGAAAGGTCTCAAGCGTTAAAGGCGTCGTTTTTTTAGCAATAGGTTCAGTTTGAAGGTTATGAAGCGATGACAAGAGAACGAAGCGACCTGCAGCACGATATATTATGTCAGAGACAGGTATTACTACCGGCATGGTGCATCCTCGCATGAACCGTCAAAGCAGCACCAGGGATTCACGGAAAACGCATGTGTTCTTTATTAAACCGACAAGACAACGGCTATTGAAATGACGCAGAAGCTCGGTATCACCTTGGCTTCCAGATTCCAAGCACAAAATAACGTGGTTGACGATATACACAACCAACTGTCATTTCAGGAGAGCGATGACGATGGGATCAGTCGGAGGATGTCACAGGATGAGACAGGCATGCCAAGGTACGGACCGAGGACGGGTCACCCAGGCGCAGCTGGCATGCGGAAAATCCGATCGAAGGTGACCAGAACTTGAGACAGTGGCCCCTGGTAAAAAAAGACATTTCATAGTGTAGTCGATCAGACGGTTGGTGTCTACAGAACGCGCCACCACTTGAGTACTTAGCAGTTATCGTTAGGAAGTTAAACCTGAAAAACTCCACCATCTGAGAATTTGGCCATAAGAACAGGTGCTGAGTCAAGATGCCTAAACAAACCTAATAGTCGCCGTGGGGGTACCCCATAGAAAAAAACGATAGGAGCTTCGGCCAAACAAAGAGGCTCTTAAGTAATGGCGAGCTAGGTACAAGTATTGCACCTCAGAAGCTGCCGTTTCGCACATGTTGCTCTTGCCGAACGACAATATGGACAAGAGCGAGCAGGAATATGAACATATGAACCGGTGATACAAGACGTGAGTGGGACGCTTCTGTGCTCACACAAGTGATGTTGCGCCTCTGGTCTAAAGCATTGCCGCTCCTTAGTGGGGTCGAGCTCGCCGCTACGGCTCGCAAAATGCAGCCGTGCCTGTACTTCCATATTTACATCTGAAACGGACACAAGAAGATGCTCGAAAGTATTCTCGAGGAGTTCCGTCTCGTGCGTGCAGCCAACGTTGCATTTTTATCGCCTGGACTATGCTGCAGGAAGCTGAAGCCAATCATGCTAGAGCAAATTCAGCCATTTACTCACGTGATTCGTCTGGCCCAGGAAACTCAAGGAGAGCAGCCGGTGGCAACAGTTAGTGTGGATTTGGGACGTTAGCGCATGTAAATCACCGAAACCTCGCGTAGATGAAGTGCAGCCGCAACCTCATGTTGTAGATATCTATACAAATGCCGTTGGAACAAACCCATCTCAGGTGAGCAGTGCAAAGCTGCTGCTAGCAGAACATGGTCCAGGGAGGAAGTCTCATCACTCGGTTGCCATTAACTCGGCGGCTTCAGCCCTCCGTTCATGGTACGTTCGAGTGCGGGGCGGTTTTACCTACATGTGGGCATGTTCCACACTCATTTTCTGTTTCAACAATTCGTGGACCCGGACTAGGGCTCTGTTTTTCTACCTTGCAAGGATTTTGATTCGACTTTGATCCTGCCACCCATAGTTTTGGTGTTGGCTGACGTCCTTTTTGCTGCAAACGGTGTTTTTTCTTCATGTCATGGGGCCGGTGTGAACAAGATGGTTCAGCAAGCATATCTACCATATTTCTTGTGGACGTCTTTGATCGTGACGGCCAATCCACGTTTTCCAGATATGTCTAGTAATAGTGCTTCACGTGAGCCATGCCCGGCCCTTTTACCACGTGGGACTTATGCCCCGGTAGCACCTCGTATCAGCTTGTATCATACGACGTATTGTCAATGAATCTGTTTTCACCGCACCCCCGCTCTCATTTCGCGAACGTATTCAAACACGTATGTATGTACGTCAGCGGTCTCCCACCACCCCATTCAGGCGATTGCTATAGCTACTGTAGTAACATGCATCTTGTCGATGCTTTGCACTGATTCTCCTCGCGACCTGCTCGCATCACTTCCGTCACACCCCTCGATTATACGTCCCTGGTCTGGTGTTGTGTTGGCGACTATTCGAGGGTAGCCGCGGGCACTATGACGGTTGAGAAACTATCCTTAACAGTAAATCTTTCACAGTCTTTTATCGTCGTAGTTCATATGGTCAGCCATTGGTGGCACACCATCTGTCAGTGACGCATCGTTGGTGCCGCGCAGGTGTTAACGTGTGCCAGAGAGGGTACGGGCGAGGAGCGGGATTGACGTCATGTTGGAAACCCACAAGAGTATAGGATACGAAAGAACACACCCGACCCCCAAGAAGTAAACCTCTTTCTGTCTGTACATTGACACCGCGCGCCCTACATTCGGTGTGCGTGCGTAACTAACAGCTTTACGCGGCAGGTGAGCAAGGCGATGTCTGAATTTTCTGGCGCCTCGCCGCGGTCGTACTCGACGCAGAGAGGCGGCAGCATCAGCGGCGATAATCGATTAGCGGGTCCCACAAAGTTAGCACCCATGCCGGCTAGAAAGCCACATGGTGCGCACTCTGCAGAAGCGGCATCAGCAATGGGTAGGGTCGGAGAGAAAAATAGATCGAAGAGCAGATATGGTGGTGGCCCCGCCGGCGCGGGAGTAGCAGCAGTCCATCAGCGAGACAGCCCAGCCCCTGTAGGGCGTGGCGGGTTGGGTATGGCTGTATCAGGCAGGGATGGCGGCAAGCGATCGCTGTCGCAACGGCAGCAGCAGGGAGATGGCGGGGTAGACGCGGCAGGACGAGATCGACGCAACAACGCTTTTTCGTCGATTTGCACAGTATCGTAGCGTTTTTGTTTCTCCTGTTTTGTCTCCAATAGCTAGTTGATCGTTCAAGCGACGGTACTGGAAGGTGATCTCAAACGGGGACTGATACGCGTGCCCTCGTTGTCACAAGAAAATGTCAGTTGGTCAGTCTACGGATAGAATGGTCGGTTCCTCTGATGTTCTGGAGTCTTACTCTGGCACACGGCTTAGAGCTGTCCTGAGTGTTATGATTACCACAAAGGAATGGAATGAATACTTCCGGTTGGTATCGTTGGTTGTCCGTGGATTGGTTGTGTACGGCCAGAGAGTAGGGCGTAGGTCACATAGTTTTTCAGATGCTTCTCGTCCCGAGTTTACACGGCGCCACTCGGGGGGCTGTTGGAAGTACGGTGGTGGACAAATGTTCTCCATCTCGTCGCCCACGCTATTTCGCGTACGGTGCCCGACGGCATCAGGAAAAAAGAGCGAACGACCGTTAACATGAACAGGTCCATCGTGTCGGCCAAGAACGTCAGGACCCTATCGTCTAGCACCAGTGGCACAGAACTGTTATCAGCGCAGACACCTCAGGTGCTGCAGAGTCATCGAACGAAACAGGTGCCAGTCTACTGTAGTTGTAGCAACAGATGGCGGGCTCCAGGTTTGTTGTCTCTGACATGATTTTTGGTGATCTTTCCATGACACAACACAGAACAAGAAGCGGACCTCAATGTTATTTTTCGGGTCTTCAATAGGCACAGCTGAGTCGAGCTGAAATGGTTGCAGGCGCGTCAGAGCATATGGTACGATGTCGATTGAGTGAGTGCACTATTCTGCGGTACACCACCGATCGGTGCCAACTCAAGCCCAACCACGAATGCTCAGAGCCAGCAGCCATGATGGCTCTTTCAGAGGCCCCGTGATCCAAACCTTCGCGTCAGAGTATCGAGGTGTACCAGCATGACACATCACAATTCACGCGGAGGATAGGCGTTCAGGCATAAAAAGGAAGGGAGAGCTATTCCAGACCGGAAAATATGGA